GTGGAGGTGGGCTTTAAGTTCGCCACCAAGACCGTCATCTACCTGCTCAACCCTTGTCACCTGGTCACCATGATGCATGTGAGTCTGTTGACTTTTTCCTGGGCAGCCTAAGTGATAAAAATCATTTGTGTGCTCAGGACACTAGTGTAGAGAGCACTTCGTCCCCTTGGGAAGTGGGACCCTTAAAAATGGTTTTCCAACCAGCGGCTGCCTTTGTGCTAACTTCAGCGTTGGTTGCACAATGGATCAGCCCTACAGCGGAGGTAAAGAGCCCTAGAAAAGGCTTGCACTCCGAGCCCCATGCCCCCCCCTCCTCCCCTCCCCCTCCCCCTCCCCCTTCCTCCCTCCTGCTCCAGCCCTGCTGGGGCCTGGCCTTTTCACCAGCAGGAAGTCCAACCCCAGCTAGGTGCCCCTTCAGAATCACATCTGTGGCCCATGGCCCAGCCCTCTTGCCTTTTGCAGGAGTTTCCCCCGGGGCCTGGTTACACGCGTTCCTGGAGGTGGTTACACAAGCTTCCTTGTCTCCACTGTGGTACATTGGGGAAATACTTATAGGGGTTTCTCTTAAGGACTCTTTCATTTGGGAGTTTATGCTCTTTGGGCGAGGTCTGCTTTTGGGTTGTGAGAAGCTTGAGCAACCCAAAGCTACCAAGAGCTCTCTGAACTCGGCTCCATGCTGATTTGTGAACTTTAGGTTGGAGATCTCGATTGGAGGTGAGAGGGTATTTACTTTTTTCAAACCTGATTCTCTGATTCTGTCCTCTAGTCATGCTCCAAGGGTACTCAGAGCTGATTTCTTTTGCTTTCCTGACCTCTATTCATTAGTTATGCTAAGGCGAACAAATGGTATTGAAAGGGGAAATTGCCAGCAAGGTACGCATAATCTGTGTGAGGACCAAAGAGGGAGACTTCTTTACTCAGCCTGCTCAGGGATATTCTGAAGCTATAAATTCATGGGAACAAGGAGAAAGGGAGAACGGGAAAGCAATTAGGTCTTTTTACATTCCCGGCTGTGGAAAACTTTGTGTGTTTTACTGGGGGTAGTTTTGAAGCCCGTCTTTAGCATCTTTATTGCTTTTATATTTATTTGTTGAAGGTTGTTCTCAGGAGAATGCCGACAACTCTGCTTAGAGCAGGAGGTTGAGATTATTATTCTCACTTTACAGCCCCTGCAGGGTTCAAGGATAGAGGTCGCTTGCCTCAAGGCAAACGATGGATTAGAATCAGGGATGGAAGCGAACTCCTTTGGAGTTGCAAACCTTCAGCTCTAAACTCTAAGCTGGCAGAGGGTGGGGAGGCCATCTTGTAGGACTTTGCTGGATACTTGGGGCTCATATATTTGGTAGCTTACTTTTCCTGGAAATCCATTCGGTTACACATTCTTGGCCTCAGTTTCTTGATCTATAAAATGAGAATGACCTTGGCCCCTTGGCATCTTGCAGATGGTAAGAAGGTGTAGATAGCTCTGGAATAAAGGGGACATTATTGATTGGGTCGCTAAAAAGCATGGAAAAGAGTTGGGGTAAGATGGAGTAGGCAGCAGTTTTTTTTTTTGAGGGCTTCTTGTGAAGGGGTACCATTCACAGCAAGTCCAGGGTTGTCCTAGCTAGACCTTCTGTGCAAATTTGACCAGTCCTCTTTCTTGTTTCTTTTGAAATGAATGGCCTTTTTGTTAATGAGAGGAAACAATGCGTCTGAGCTGCTGTTGTGTATGCCTCTTCAGACAGGAGTGCTTTTTTAGGACGGCAGGTGGTAAGGGTCAGAGGGTGCCTCTACAAAAGGGGTCTTGAGGCCTCTGGCAACCACAGATCTAGAAGGTCAACAAAGGGCTAAATTCAGCCTCACTGGGGCTGCTACTGGTGTGATGGCGTCAAACCTGGCAACGACCGTGATTTTTAAAGGAAACATTTTAGAGGCCTTTAGAAGACTCTGGAGCCCTACTTCTGGAATTCATTAGTTGTATGGCTTTGGGGAAAGTCCCCTTTCTGGGCCTCAGTTTCTCTACCTGTAAGACGGGACAGAATTGTACTCCTAACCCTTGACAGTATGTTCTGTGAGTCTTTTTTTTTTTCCAGAGCTGAGGACCGAACCCAGGGCCTTGCGTTTGCTAGGCAAGCGCTCTAGCGCTGAGCTAAATCCCCAACCCCTGTTCTGTGATTCTTTGTCCCATAACTAATGGGACAATGACAAAAGCCTTTGAAAGGCTTTTGACTTCCTTGTGCATAAAAGGGAAATTGGTCTCCTTTGTGGAGGTCAGGTAGCCAGCCAGTCCACCTTAGCTTTTGCTCCACATGGCTCCCAGTAAAGTGAAATTGTTGAGGCGACCTTCGGGGTCATATGCACTTGATGTCAGGACAGATAGATGTTTGGCTGATTTCTTGTCCTCATATGTGTGTTTTTTTTTCCTTAGCTTTTGCCCTGAAGCTGTAGGGTGGACACAGGGAAAGGACTCATGCTGATACATTTTTGCAGTGTCCTGGGGACACTGTACTCCTTTGTCCTCTGTCCCCAATCACTGCTTTGTACCCTAAGGTCCTACGTCGGCTTTGGTACATCCAACTTTCTAGTGCCTTCTACGTGGCTCTTCCTTAGAAGCAGGACTGTATGGATTTTTGAAAGTTGATGAGAGTCGGTTAAAAAAAATTAACAGCAGATGGTAGCAACCAGTGTTATGACTTGGATGCAAAAATGACTAATGATAGTTTGGAGGACTACTAATACCTTACATTTATCTAGCACTTTACAGCTCACAGGCACTTTAATATGCATTATCTTATTCGAGGTTGTGATAGATCAGCTTAGGCCCGGAGAAAAAGATGTTAAAATGTTTTCTGTGATTGTGTCTATTGCAAAGGGGAGATATTATGAATCAGTAAATGCTTTTTGCAAGTGAATTAGATGAATTAGGCTCTAATGCAGCGACAGACCTCGGAGATTAGAAGTACTGACCAGCCAAGGGGGGTGTTAGCTGAAGTGAAAACGGGTTCCAAGGTGGACATGCTTATGTTTGATAGTGTCTCTTAACTCCGTGGCTCCGTTTTTGGTTTTCTAGAAAGTTCTTTTCCAGTAGAATCACTAAGTGTAACAAGGGCCATGTTACTTTACGCCAGGAAGTAGAGGAGTTGGAGGGAAATTGGTTCCTTTCTCCAGCTCTCATTTTTCAGTCTGCAAAATATTCATTTGCAACGCCTTGTTACACAGACCCTCGTCACAGCCCTGCTGTCTTTGGGTGGCTGCCAACTGGAGTAACATAAGGAAGGGCATAACTTGCGTCTGAATTCTGTCCCTGATTAACATTCCTGCTGTTGAGTTTCGTTTTGGTCTCATGTGATTTCTCTGAGGCTTGAGGATTGTAGATGGATAGTGGCCTGGAGGATTACATTGGTACCAGCCCCCAGCTCAGTTCCAGGTTAGCACAGCATTGTTAAACCCCGTGCTAAATATCGGGTCTGTCTGCCAACTACACCAGTAAGGATTTCTTCAAGCATGGCCACTCAATCCTCTTTTGCCCATGAATTTTGGCAGGTATGCATTCCGGGGAATGAACCTACTGAGCCATTGGTCTGTTGATCCCAAAATCTCCCAGCAGTTTAGTGGCACAGGTGGCTTTAAATCTCAGCTGCCACAGTGGGAATCTCGGATTAGTCGGGAGAGATTCTTGTAGCTGTTTAAGTCTGAAAAAATCTACAGTTTCTCAGTAGAAGAGTTAAAATGCCAGACAGGCTAGATGTGATGGCGAATGCCTGCAATCTCAGCACCAGGAGGTTTAGGTAGGGGGATGGCCCGTTCAAGGCCAGTATGACCTACATAACGAGACTCAAATACAAATACAGTCGGGTTGGTTGTGTCTGTAAAGAATAGGGGTCTACGACTAACTTTAACTTATTGGTTCTTTGTTTTCTTTCTTCTTTGGTTCTTTTAATACATTTTAACTTATATTGTTTTTTTTTAATACAATTATGTTGTGTGTGTCTTAAGAACTTAATGAAAAGATCTCCTTTTTCATGCTTTGTTTAATTGCAAAATTTCTGTGGGTTCTGAATGTGTCTGTGTTAACATCCGGTTAGGGGCTCAACTTAGCCAGGTACAACCCTTGCAGCTTAATATTCAATGCCTGTACACAGGAAGCGGGCCAGGCATTCAGCGAAGTCTAAGTCATGATAATTGACCTGTAGTTCCCAGCCAGTACTTAATTTTTAAAAAAAATTTGGTTAGTAATTCCGAGCCCCCTCTTGTTTTGTAAATTTACTTCATTTGTGTGTGTGTGTGTGTGTGTGTGTGTGTGTGTGTGTGTGTGTGTGTCACACATACCACAGTGCATACACAGAGGTCAGAGGTCACCTTCCAGATGTTGGTTATCCTGTACATCTACTCTAGGTCCCGGGAATTGAGCTCAGGTTGTCAAGCTTGCCTGACAAGCACTTTTATTCTCGGAGTCATCTCTGCAGCCTAGGCCTCTCATTTTAGAATTGTGTTGGTTATTACATATTCTGCCTTTAAAAATATAATATATTAGAGGTTTGATTTCCACCAGACAGGGCTTTCCTGCTTTGGGGTTGCTAAAGTTTAATCCCCCATCTTTTCTTTCTCTCTTTTTCTTTCCCTCTCTCACCCCCCCTCCCTCACCTCCTCCCTCCCTTCCTTCCACATGAGAACTCACCATGTTGCTCTTGCTGGCCTGGAGCTCACTTTGCAGATGAAGCTGGCCTCAAACTCACAGACTCACATCTGCCTGCTTCTGCCTCCCGAGTGATGGGAATAACAATATGGGCCCCATCTTGCTAAAAGTGTGGAGTGGTCTGTCTTCACAGAGTCTGAGCTTGGGGCTGGGCTGGAGCCCAGTTGGAAGGGTATGTGTTGTGCACACTTGGAACTGGAGGTTCCAGCCCCAGCACTTGATAAACCCGGCACGGTGGCACATGCCTGCAATCACAGTACTGGGGAGGTGCAGAGAGGAGGAGTCAGAAATTCAAGGCTATCTTCAGCTACAAAGCAAGATTGAGGACAATCCGGCATCCATGAGACCTGTCTCAAAAAACAGAAACAAAACGAAACTGAGTTTTTGGTGGCACCCTCTTTGACTTACTGAACACTCACTGGTACATTCCATTTACCATTTGATGGGTTCATTTTAGAGAAAATCAGACAAAGAACTGACAATGAGTCTTTCTCTTCCCCCCCGACTTCAGATCAGACTCACTTCCTCACTCCCCATCTGTTGTCAGGAGCACTGATTACTGTTCCTACATGGGATTGATGTTCATGGATCATGGGTGGAATGAGGGATCCAGCCGTTTGCTGATGGCTGTGTCCTGTGTCATCAGACCAGGAGGACATCAGGGAATGAATGTTTATATGGGCCTTGGCATTGAGACATGACGTTATTTTATTCTTCCCTCCAGAGAAAATGGCAGAGAATCCCCCCATCTTTCATCGGTCCAGTCTTTAGGAGACTACATTCATTATACATAGAGATGCTGTGGACTGGTGGGTTACGCATCTACATCTAACACTGGGCTTGAATATTATGATGCCTGTGGCTTTCTGTGGGAACCTGAGCAAATTATTTAACCTTTTCCTTTCCAGACCTACACCATGAAAATGAATACAGGGAAAGCAAAGCTTTTTAATCTGCTAAATAACTGTATAGTCACTTAACCCAGAGAAGAAGCTGGGCAAAGCTAATCTGAATGGCAGATGACCAATGTGGTTCTACTTTAATCTCAACCCCTTCTCACTTTTCCCGATGGCTGCTGAGATCCATTCTTCCAATAATGCCTGTTGCTTTTCTCTGGCTTCTTGCCCACATCTCCATGCCCTTGTAATGCACAGCATGCAAAACTGGGCTCTGTAGCGCTTAGGGTCCAGCCCATAGCAAGCAGGGAGGAATGCTTTTCCCTCTCAGCCTTTTCATGCCCCGCACCTGTGAATACAACCCAACATCATCACGCTTGCTTTTAAATAACAGTATGTCTCTGGCTCCTGCTCAGTACCCGATTGCAGGCTCGCTGGATTTTGTTCCCTAACCGTTGCACATCCACCACCTTCTCGGTCTTCATAGGGCTTGTTTTCGATTCGTTCTCTCTGCAAGTTCTCCTCTGAGGATTCTCCTCTTTGAAACCTTTCTAGATGATCCTGACCTGACTCCAGTTATTCTTGTCATTCTATTAAAATCATTTGTCCTCCTTTCCCAACCCTTCTCAGCACTTCTCAGAATATTGGGCAAGGGGTTGGGGTACAGCTCAGAGGCAGAGTTTGCGTGCTTAGCATGCATGCCTCTCTGGGTTCAATTCCCAGCACCTCACACACATTTTTTTTTTTTTTTTGCTCTTGTTGTTTGGTGAGGGCTCTTGTTTTTGTATGCTTATTCAGTTTCCACTGTTAGCAGGGACAGTTTTTTTTATATATATATAAGAAAAGGCATGTAATAGTTTAATTCCATGTCATGCATGATTACAATGATGTACATGCATGTTAATTGTTGTGGGCCTGGATAATGGTCATTAAGTGACTGACAGACTTGATGGTGTTTTGTATCCCCCTGCCCCCATGGTCACCTGTGTTCCCTTGAGGTCTCATGGACATGGTTCTTATGTCTGTTGTGCCCAAGGAGTTTATCTTTGGATCTGTTTGTTTGTTTTTTTGAGACAGAGTTTCTCTGTGTTGCCCTGGCTCTCCTGGCACTAGCTCTGTAGACCAGGCTGACCTTGAACTCACAGAGATCTGCCTGCCTCTGTCTCCACAGTGCTGGGATTAAAGAGGTACACCACCATCGTCTGGCCAGAGGACAGAAACAGGCTCAGTTCTAGAGCACGCAAGTCTTATAGAAGTTCTACCACAAACAACCCGTTATTCAACCATGGCCCGCTCTGGATCCAAAGTATAACTTGCATCCAGATCAGGAAATTAGGATGCTGGTCTTTATCCCTTGGCAGACATCTGGGCACTTTAATTTCTTGCTTTACTATAGAAATAAAAAGAATGTTATTAGGCCAGTGACTCACTCTTCTTTTTTTCTCCTGTACTTTTGAGTGGTAGCTCATTGTCATTGTGTCTACTTGAAATATTCTCAACAAGAGCCAAGTTTTTCAGCTTGTCCTTGTCTTTCATATCTTTTTATTATTATCGTTTGTTTTGAAGTACTGGAGAATGGATCCCATGCTTTGTGTGTACTAGGTAAGTGTCATGCCAGTGAGCTATAACCAAGCCTCGTTTTTTGCTGTGTGCATATGCTTTGTTACATTGAGAGTTCATTCGTCTCAAAGGTCCCTATCTGGCCAGGCTCAAGAGGCATGAAGAGAGCTATGGATATGGAGAGGAGTGATTAGCTGGTTATAATGCAGATGCCTGACTCCCACTAGAGACACCTAAGCAGGTCCAGGGTAAGGATGGCATTAAGATTTTTTTTTTTTGAGATAGGATATGTAACCCTCTATGTAAGTAACTCTGGCTGTCCCAGAACTTACAGAGATCAGCCTGCCTCTGCCTCTTTAGTGCTGGGATTAAAGGGATGTGCCACAAGGGGTGGGGCTGGCTTCTGAATTTTGTTGGGGTTTGAGACAGGGTCTCACTGTATAGCTCTGGCTGTCCAGAAACTCAACTACATAGTCCAGGCTGGCCACAAAGTCACAGAGATGTGCCTGCCTCTGCTTCCCAAGTGCTGAGATTAAAGGCATGTGCCACTACACTCAGACTTGCATCATGAATATATATATATATATATATAAATATATATATGTTTATATTTTATATATATTTTTTTCTCTTTTTCGTTTTTTTTTTTCTTTTCTTTTTTTAGAGACAGGGTTTCTCTGTATAGCTTTGCGCCTGTCCTGGAACTCACTCTGTAGACCAGGCTGGCCTCGAACTCACAGAGATCTGCCTGCCTCTGCCTCCCGAGTGCAGGGATTAAAGGCGTGTGCCACCACCGCCCAGCTCTGCATCATGAATTTTAAAGAAATTCCTTGGTGGACTGGGGGTGTGCCCAGCATGAACAGAACAGCACTGTGTGATCAGGTCTAGTGGTCATACTCCAGAAATGGACTGTCTCTCACAAAAACAAAATACCCCCCAAACTAAACTCCCTCACAGTTCAAATGTTGGGCAGTCTTGGGTCCCATTTGGGGTGACATCTGGTGGCTGAAATAAGTAATAAGTGGTCGTCCGTGGCCTGTGGGCAAGCATTTAGGCTTCTGAAAGCAGTGTATATAGGTTGGTAGTATAGGCTATATAGGTAGTTTAGGTATGTAGTATGGCTTAAGTGAGATGGTAAGGACAAGATTTTGTGAGGGAAGTGTTAAGGGAGTTGTTATCATTAGAATATTTCAGGCCTTTGTTACCCTCTAGTTCTCCATTTCTCTCCTCTAGGCCAGTAAGTTCTCTCAACTGCGAGGAGGCCATTTTGACACCTGGTTGCTGCATGCTAGCTCTCTGTATGGGAGACTTTTGTTTTAAATGGTTGTATGAATTTATTCCTTCTTAAATTTTTTTTTTTGAGATTTTTATTTTATGTATATGGATGTTTTGCCTGCATGTATGTCTGGACACCACGTGTATTCCTGGTGCCTGCTGGAAGTCAGAAGAGGGCATGAGATCTCCCCAGGATTGCAGTTACAGATGGTTGGGAGCTACCATGTGGGTGCTGGGACCCGAACCTTGATCCTTTGCAAGAGCAATTCTTTTTTTTTTTTT